ACCGCTTTCTGATGGTATCGTTGCGAATGTGGTCTAAACGCGTGACCCCGGCAGTCCAGCGCAGCATTTTTGTCTCCATTACACTGAGACGAGCCTCAACCTCTTTAGTCACGGGCCAGCACTCTGCTCCGTAAATGGCGACTGGTCGGATGACGGTTCTGTAGATCTTAGATTTCAGTCGCTCTGGTATTTTCTTATCGCAGAGAACGCCGGTCATCGAGCGCCATTTGGACCAAGCTGCACTCACGCGAGAATTACTTCAGAGACCAGGCTGCCGTCAGACGCGATTGCTGACCCAAGATACTTGAATGATGTTGTACGTGTGAGCTCAGTGCCATTGATCTTAATAGAGCCTGACTCACTCGAATCGGTGGTCAAGTACTCTGTCTTCTTCACGTTCAACCTGAGCCCAAACATAGCCAGACGGTCGGACCAGGTTTGCACCTGTTGCTCGAGCAGATGTTTGTCTTCGCAGGCGAGCATCACGTCATCAGCATAAAGAAGCGTCCATGGAGCCGGCTTCTGAAGATCTCGCGAAATGGCATCCATGACGACAACAAATAGGAGTGGGGAAAGCGCAGAGCCTTGGTGTACCCGACAGAGATGGGGAATTCCATCGAAGTACCTGCCACCGTTTGCACCCGGCTCCTTGAGTTCGAGTAAAGTATGCGCACCCACTCAATGAGCTCTTCAGGAACGTCGTGCTGTCGTAAAGCATACCATATGACTTCTCGAGGAACGCGATCAAAAGCCTTCTCCAGGTCCAGGAAGGCAAGATGCACAGCTTTTCTTTTCTCGCGATGTCTTTCCAACAGAAGGCGGGCGGCATGTATTGCATCGATGGTGCCGCAGCCTGACACAAATCCACACTGGTTGATGGAAAGCTGCACGATGTCACGAATACGGCCGTCCACAATTCGCTCAAAGATCTTCATGCTGTGCGAGAGGCAGGCGGATCGGATGGTAACTCGTACAATCAGCAGGACTGCCTTTCTTCTTCCATATCGGAATCGTTGTGCTCTGCTGCCACTCTCAGGCACCTTTCTCTCTGCTACGATCTGGTTGAAAAACTTGGTCAACCATTCAGCAGGACACCAGCATTTGACTTCCATATGTCGGCCGCCAAATCATCGGGACCTGTAGCTTTTCCCTGACTTCATCTTCTTCAGAGCCATTTCCGTTTCCTCCACGGTTATTCTCTGCACAGGACCTTGCACTGGTGGGACATAAGGGACTGCTGGATGAGCAAATTCTTACAGCTGAGATGTTCTCGAAAGTAATCATGCCATCGCTTCACTGCTTTCTTGCGGTCCGTCAGGAGGTTACCATTTTCGTCGTTGATGCCGAAAAACTTCTCGATGTCCTCGGACTGGCGATGGCGGGCTTTGGCGAGACGATAAACATAGCGTTCACCATCGCGCGTCTCGAGCTTCTCGCTAACATCAGCAAAGTGGGCAGCTTTTGCGGCAGCAACGGCCTTCTTTGTCGCATTCTTAGCTGCCTGATAACTCCGCCAGTTGTCGACAGTCTTATCGCCAAGAAATACGTGGTATAGCCTCTTCTTCTCACGTACTTTTTCTTTAATCGTCCATAGCCACGCTTGCTTGTCGATCTTCCGTCGCCCAGGTTTTGTTGTGCCGAGTTTAGAACGAGCAGAAAGGATTATCGCCTCGGCAGCACTTTTCCAAGTTTCATGAACATTCGTGACCGCCGGCAAATCAACCGCTTCCTTCTCTTTCAAACGCCACCACTTGATTCTCGCTGGTCCACACCGCTCGATTTGTTTCAATTTCGGAGGAGCGATCTTCAGCGTGCAAATCAGCGGTCGATGTTGCGTGGTGACAGTCTCATACGGCACCGCCTTTGCGTCTGTTACGAGCCCTCGATCGCGTTGCCTGACGAGGACATAGTCGATTTGCGTTCTGGTAGTACCGCTATAGAAGGTGATGAGGTGGGAATCACGTTTCCGGAAATTCGTATTCACGATGGTGAGATCGTGCGAATTTGCATACTCAAGAATTCGTTCGCCATCGTTGTTACGTGACCCATATGACACATGACACATGACCCCGGACGCAAAAGTAGTACCTTATGAAACGGTCGTCACACAACACCGACCATTGATTTGTACGCTAAAAATCGCCCCACCGAGACCGAAACTAGCCGAAAGGATGTGGGCCAGCGAGAATCAAGTGGTGGCGACTGAAGGAGAAAGAAGCGGCCGTCGTTTCCCGCATTCGATTACCAGCGGTAACGACTGTCGACGAAACTTGGAAAGGTGCTGCCGAAGCGATCACCCAGGTTGCGCGATCCGAGCTCGGCATGACGAAGCCTGGACGGAGAAAGGTTGATAAGCAAACATGGCTGTGGACGGATCAAGTTAGAGAGAAAGTAAGAGAGAAGAAAAAGCGCTACCACGCTTTTCTTTCGGAGAAGACAGCCGGTTGCTGGCAGCGCTATCAGATAGCGAAGAAAGAGGCAAAGAAGGCCGTTGCTTCTGCGAAAGCAGCTCATTTTGCCGATCTCAATGAGAAACTCGAGTCGCGCGATGGTGAACGGTACATTTACCGACTCGCAAAGACCCGCTATCGCCAGACTGAGGATATAGAAAAGTTCTTCGGCAGAAATGATGCGTATGGTCGCCTTCTGACGGACCGCGAGAAAGCATTGAAGCGATGGTGCGAATACTTTGAGAACACCTCAACAG